TCGTTAACTAGAACAAAAACGAAGAATTTTTTTCGAAATGATAAATTACAATTAACTAAATTTCGACTATTGCCAACTCAGTTTGAAGAAATTAGTTATTCACTCACAATATTTGGTTGAAATAGACTTTATTCTATAGAACGAGAAAAACTACCTTTTATTCTATGAAAACAAAGTTCTCTTAGCGATTTCTGATGTTTACAATCTTAGAAAACTATTCGAATTTTTTCTCAGAAAAGAGGTTTAGAAAGTTGGACATATCGGAGCTTCACAGTATTGTTTGGAAAAATGTTCCTTCTATAAACTTGAGGTCAAACGCCCTTGTGTATTTTAATAGAAAATTAAACGGAGAATTTTTTGAAAAGAAGTTCAAATGAAAACTGAAGAAGATATTGACATCGTCATTTAATCTGGTTCCCACTCAGTAGTACTAGTTGCTCAGAAAACTACAAAACGATGGATTTCATCTGATCTTATTTTTGTGAAACACGATCTAAAAAGGAGTGTTGAAGTATAAGAGTAGAAATTTGGACCAACCCTCTTCTCTACAGATGAGACAGACACTTTGGATATACAATCTCAAGTAGAAGGATGGTCACAAAATTAATTTCAAAATAAATGGAATAAAACTATTATTCTCTAATTAGCAACAGCAGTAGAACTTATCGGGTTCAACTGCTCCGAATGTATAGACATTATATTCCCAATTTCATCTCAATAGTCGCTCCAAAAATACGAGATATCTTTTTTGCTTATTTAAATTCAGCAACTGGCATACTCTACACATTTCTCAGGGCATCTTGACGATGATTGTATAAGAATGTAACTTTTACTTTTAGATTAGCAACTGTCAAATCCGAGCCGATATGCTCTAAACAGCAGATATATTATTTTTTCATTCTTTAGGGTTTGCACTATCACTGTTAATATCGTTCTCGTTTCGTATTATTTTGTTTAATAACATGCATTATGGTTTTTGTATTCTGAATAATTTTAATTTAAGTATACATCATATGTTTTAAATAAAACCTAACATGATAAAAAAAAACATTTAAATAATAGGAAAAAAGAAAAATGAATAAACATTTTTTTAATTGTTTAAAATTTCGATCTATTTCTTGTTTTTTTTCTAAAAGTAAAACTTTACTTGTCAAGATCTGATCTATATAATAATTGTTGAAGAACTTCAAATAATATAAATAAATATTCATCAAAATGAAGAAGATCAAGAAATAAACGAGTTGATTTATTTACAACTTACATTAAATAAATTATGTTTTGAATTTTCTTGATAAAGATAAACAACTTTTTTTTTTATTCAAGTGCTATTCTGCCAAGAAGAAATTCTAAGCTAAGACAATCATTTCAATAATATTCACTCGTATGAAACAAATGTGCAAGCTGATAAAAATCACCATAATGTCAATTATAATGAGCAATACATATATAAAGATCTTCGATACATAACCATATACATTTATCCAAGGATCGGTTATAACATCTGAATAATGTTAAATGATTGTTTTATAGAAAATTGTATAAAAGAATGAACCTTTTTTATATACTTCAAAGTACTTTAACGTACTTTAAAGTACAAAAGTACGATGTTTCCCCCGTTGGGATAAATTATATAAAAAATACACAAGTAGCGTGGATCGAGGCGATCTACTGGGTCTCTTCACTGTACAAAGTTTTCTACCATTGAGGTGCCTGTTTCTCACCCAGAGTAACTGAGCTAAGATAGTGTACCCTTCTGTCTGCCTTAACGTCCTCGGCTATGACGTTGCAATTTATTTTGATTTTTTTTCTTCTTTTTCTGCTTGACTAATTTTTTTCGTTTCTTCTTATACTACTGATTACTTAGTTACACATATCTTCGTTGCATTATTCCCATGCATATCCTTTCTGTTCTCTGATTTTCGTTGCACATAACTTCATGATTATTTTCATATCAAGGAAGAAAGAGAACAATAAGTAATAATAAAATATTTTTTATTAACTAGAGTCAAAGCAGAAATGAATAACATCTATTTTTTTCGTTTCATTCTATGAATGACAGCAAAAAGAAATAAATATTTGTTATTTTTCTTCTATCTTGTTTATTTTGAAGAATTAATGGCCGAAGGCCTATTAATATGATCAGTGATGAACACTGATTCTTAGGATAATAAAAATTAAGTTTGGGTGTTTTGGAACGAAAAGCATGTAATTTGATACATCTCCTTTCTTATGAAAAAATATTTTTGAAATTTATTGAATTTTTTATGAAAACAAAAAATTTTTATGAAAAAACTTGTTTTTACTAAAAATAGTCTATCTCAAAATTTCGAAAAATTGATGAAAAAATGATGATCCAAATAACGGCTACGTTGCGGACAAACAAACACACAGTCAATCGAGGGATCAGGACTCTGACTACAGCCAAGGAAATAAAACATATTTTAAATAATCTATTTATAGCTAAGTGTTTTGATTAAATTATTTTCTATATCTTATAATTGTTTAATTGCAAGTAAATTTTTGCTGTTAAATGAGTTTTATATTTTTATGATAGATAACGTGAGAATTGATCATATGCATCAGTCAACCAGATTTGAAAAACGAGAAAAACAGAACTTTTTTCGATTAAAACGATCATAACTCTTGGCCAATAGGCCATAGGCCTTAATCTTTTTAGGGTTTTCTTAGTCTCACTGAGTGCTACTCATAGCCAAAATATGGGATTGAACGGCATACGACAGTTGAATATGTTCCCTCGTAAGTCCGTGTGAAAACTTGAATATTCGAAAGAGAGTTCCATGAGTTATGCAAAAATTTCTTAAAAACACTCTTTTCACTGTGTAAAACGGGTAATCCAGAATAATTAGAAAGACTGATGTCTCTTTTCAGAGGCACCACACATGCGTCAGTGCGATGTTTTCCTCATCATATAACAAGATCGGTAATGAATTTAGATTCGAAGCAAGCAGATATAAATGACAGAAAACCAGGAGATATGCTATTAAAAATTCTAAGCAACTTGCTAGCCACCTATTTTGGATAACTTTATTTTGCATTATACCAATGAAGTCTTCAAGTCAAAAGTGAGAAATTCAAACGGTGTTTTTCAATTTTTTTCTTTTATGCAATATTTAGATTTAAAAATGTTTATCATTATTGGTTAACCATATTTTACACGAAATGAGGATCGACCATTCATGATGACGAATTGAATAAACTTGTCTTGTTGTTTCTTACAAAACTTTTTCTTTGTTCGAAATTATTCCATTTCAGATCGAACATATTCAACGAGAATAATAACAACAAAATGGTTCCAGTACTTGATGCATAAATCAATAAATTAGTACGTATAGTTACATCTGATGAATGAATTGTAATTGGAACATTACATGGATTTGATCAAGCAATAAGTATTATCTTAGATGATAGTCATCAACGTGTATTTTCTTCAACAAACGGTGTTGAACAAATTCTTCTTGGTCTTTATATAGTAGGTGGTGATAATGATGCATTAATTGATGAAATAGATGAAAAACTTGATAATAATATTGATTTTTTCAGAATTCGTACTGATCCATTACAAGCTGCTAAAACATAATTTCTGTATTCTCTTTCTTTCCGTGTATTGTTATTATTATTTTTGCTGTTGTCAGATGATTGTCTGTTAGTATGACATCAAAATATTTCTTTTTTTACTCTTCGTGCCATCGAAGAAAACATACAAAACAATGTCTCATTCGACTTGTCAGTAGAGCAAAAAAAAAAGAAGAAAAAACCATTCTTTCAGCTGATACAATTTATAATTAAAAATCAATTTTGATTTTGCAGATGTTATTAAATAAAACATAAAATATTTTAGTTAGTATTCTTTTTTGTTTAATCTCTTGGTTTATTGTACGAACATATCTTATTGCTGATGAATATTGACCAACATTTGAAGTAGCTCATACTTGCTTTTGGTTATGGTTATAAAACATGGGAATGGTAATCAAGTATTACTATATGAAGTTATCTTTATCCATTAGTAGTTTATCAATATAGAGTTTTCAGTGGTTTCCAGTGAAACTCGACTAGTGACATCATTTAGGGAAACATGATTGATAAAACGGATGATTTTTCGATTTAACTATTACGTTTACCACTCTTGTTATTGAGCGAGCACTATCTCCATTTTCATCTATCTCAAAAAGATGTCATGGGTTCGTTTAACCAATTTTCCTTCAGATTGTGTTGCTTCTTTGGTCTTTTTCTTTGTTGAAAAGCCACTACCTATCACCGATCGATATTTTCCACGATCAGCGCACGACTTTTATCACTATATGAATCCATTCCGAAATTCACCATCCGAAAGTTTTAAAATGAAAAGATTTATTTTGATCGGAGACAATGCATCAGATATTCATCGCTACATGTATTGATTTTACAGCCATTGCACATGTCATAATCGATAGTGATGATCGTTCCTATTGATTAAATGAATTTTCCAACAGACGATTAGTATTAATTGTTTGTAGGTATAAGCAAACGTCATTCGTTGTCTCATCTCTTTGAAATTAAATATTTTCAACGACAGTCTGATTCCTTGCGTACCGTACGATTTCACAACTACCTTTATGTATTAGCATCTGGTTTTACTCAAAATAATGACTTTCAATACTAACATATTCAGCCATCTAGAAGGTGTCGACATCTATGCAACAGTAAAACTAATATTAACTCATTGCATTAGATTCGAGTTTCTAACCTTCAACTACCTTTGATCAAGCTTTAATTGCAGATTGTTAGTCCCGTTCAACACGGAAAGTCCTCTATCGTACTCTTTCACGAAGTAACTTCTTATTGGTTGTTCGCTAACATGCAATCAGGAATCGGACAAACATATCAATTTATATGGATTTTATTCTGTACGTGTATGATCCTTCTTTTCAGTCGACGGAGCAAATAGAATTCTTTCTTTTCATTGATTGTAATGAGCATTTTGTTGTAGATTATTTCCTACTATGTATTGCTTATCTCGTGTTCTTTGGCGACCATATTCGTGGTCGATGTTAAAATGCAGGTTATCATCGGTTGGTATTGTATGTCATCTATTATCTATTCGATCACATTCATCATTGTCCAAACCTCCTATTCAATTCAGTTTCGTACCACCAAAATTACCGGTGGAATTGGAACAATACGGTCATCTACTTGTTGAATATGTTTCGTCTATGTGCATGGCATTCAATATTCAAGCTATGACATGTATCACCACACTTGAAAGTTATCATAGTATGGATAAATTAGAGATGCAACGTGAATTTCTTACCATTGATGCTGATCGACAACGACAAATAACTTATTTAACCAGTGAACTTTTGAAGGCTACTCATCGATTTAATCTACGAGGTGCAATTGAATTTATTCGTGAACGAATAAAATCCCGATCATCATCATCATCTTCTAGTTCACATTCATCTCCGATTGCTACAAGCGTTATAGACAAGCCGATGCAAATGTTATTAAATGATCATGAATTTTATCATGAACTTTCACGAGCAGCACTTTTGAATCAGATTGTCTTCAATGATATTCAACGTTCGATGATGGGATTATATCATTCATTAAGTAAATATTTTCATTCTCAACAGACATGCGAAAATATTGTAATTGATGCTCGTTTACTTGCTCCCTCTGAACAATTCGTAATTGGTGTATTATTTAAACGATTTAATATTTCATCGATATATATTGATAAGGACGGTAATATGGCTATGTTTCCGTACAATCTGAAAGATGTAACATCTGGCCAGTAAGTTTTGGATTACTTGAAATATTTTCTTTTTTTTTTCTTTTGCTAAATCGTATTCTTTTATCTTTTCATCTGGTCCGTTGCTCTTTCACACAGATCAGGCTCGAAGAATAGCCATTTCTGATACCTCTGTTAGATAGAAATCGCTTTTTTCCTTGAGAAACTGTATGATGAAAAGTTTTTGTTTGCTTGAAATTGCTAGTGTGTTGTAGATCTTAGCCATTCCATCGTCTTATGAATGATAATTGCCACTAGTCTTTATGTTATTGTTTTTCTTCTTTTAGTTAACTTATTTGTCATTCTGGTTGATCTTCTCCAAATTTGTCAAAGCAAAGAACCATCAAATCGCCTTGACTGATGCTCTCTCTCTTTTTGTATTCTCATTCGAATAAACTATTTTTCTGCCTTTCTGTTGTACTTACATGAAAACTCTAAATCAGTTATAAAATCGAATCGATAGGATTTTTTTATTCGGCTAAACGTGTTTCTGATGAATGTTTGAAATTTTCATTTACATTAGAGATCTAATTAGGCAGTTACTCTGTCGAACAATAAATGCTGATGTAGGAGATCATACAGTAGTCAAAAAAAAATACTTTATATTCGTATTCTTGCTTCTCTAATAATAAGTAATATGTGATTGCATGTTCAGCATTTTAGAAAATACATGTGAGGTATGATAAAATTGGACACTGATCAAAGATGTGATCTCGAATTTCAAAATGAAAGAAAAACAAAGAATACATAGATAATTAAAACATGGATTTGTTTTATAAGATAATAATTAATAATAAGACATATAAGAACAATACATGTAAAATTTATAAATCAATCATTGATATATTTTTTATTTAATATAATCTATGTCAAAAGACAAAAAAAAGGAAAAAATAATATTATATAATATAATAATTGTATGTGTTGTTGAATTGTTCAACCAAGATATAGATGAAGCTGAACAAAAACAATTAGAAAAAGAAAATGAAGTTTGTTTTTTTGAAATAAATATTTCATCTCTAGATTCAACGTTTAAAAATGATGGAAACAAGTCTTCATAGAGATGTTAATGAAAGAGATCATCGTATTGTTGATATATCTAAATATACAATTGATGATTTACCACCTTTAATAAATGAACTTGAACAAGTACAAAATCGTTTTGATATAGCAGCTGTTAATAAAAATAAATAAAAAAAAAAAGAATATGAAAGTTGTCAAACACGTTTACAAGCAGCTGTTAATGTTACACAAAGGTAAATTTAGATAAAAACATTTATTTTTATATTAAAATAAATAAAATCACAGTTTATATGAAATGGATTTATTTAATATAAAAGAATTTAAACAGTAAGAATAATTATCTCTGTCTCGTTCAGTTTTCTTTTTTTTTCTATGTGCATGTTTGTTCAAATTTTGATGTTTTTTCTGTGTAAACAATTTATGTTATTCTCATATTTTCAGACGAGATCAATCAACTCGACCAGATGATGAAAGCGTCTGGTAATGAGAAAATATTTCCTTGAAGTGAACCTAACAAAACAATTCTCATTTAGCATCTGCACAAAACTTTGTTTTTGAGTATATCTTATTGATGAAAATCATATTACTTTTTGTTAAGATCAGATTTGATTTTGGAGAATACAATAAGAATTTATTTGAATATATTTATCGTTTTTCTTTTTCGTTGTTAATTTATCGAATTTGGAAGAGCAATCAACGAATGGATAACAGAACATTCAACACGTGATCAAAATTTGACAAATTGTATATTAGCAACTGCTTATATGTGTTATTCTTCATCATTTGATGCTGATTTAAGAATAATTGTATGGCAAAAATTTGTTAAATTTTGTCAACAATATCAAATTCCACGTGAAGCTGATTTAGTTTTTCAAGTATATTTAATAAAATTAATCAAATAATTATTCAATTTCTTTTCTTTTAATAGCCAATACCAATTGATAGAAGTTGAAAAAGTTTTCTCGATATGTCTTCTTCACTGAATAATCTATCATTAGATTCAAGAGGAAATACAGCACGTACTAATCGAATCAATCGAACACCAATAACAACACTTGCTCAATTTTTATATAATCAAATTGAATTAAAAGAATTTCAATTTCTTCGTCTTATACCAACTGATATAATGACTGAAAATGGTTCTATTATTATGGTAGATGCTGTTCTTAATGGATGACCATTAATATCTGATGCAAGATGGTATTCAATTGAATGGATTAGATTATTTTTAAAAAATAAACAATTAATTCTTGTTCTATATTATGTTATAATCAAATCATTAGTTTTTTTTTCTGTTCTTTTTTAATAACAATTACGTACACAATTAGAAACGGCATTATCGGAAAGACTTCATCTTTTATTAATAGATTGTGATAGAAATACTTTAATCAATAATGATAAACTTGAAATAGTTATTAGAAATCAATAGAGATTTTTAACAAGTGAAAAGCCATTTAAATTACAAATAGGTCAACGAGAAATTGAATGTAGTCGAAAATTTCGGTTTCTAATCAAAATAAATATTTTTACATATGATATCTCACATAATCTTCGAAATAGATGTGGACTGACTATATTTTATGTGCTCATTCCAAATATGATATTAGTTTTGATTCAATGTTAACTTTTCACAGTCAATTCTTATCAACATTTATTAAAAATGATGAAAAGTTAATATGCTTAGGAATTACATATGGGGTCATATTTTTTTGTGTTAGAAAATATATGATATTGTAGCTCTTTCATAGCGTTATCAAATGAACAAGTCCACAAGTTTGATTACTTCACTTTATAAATTCACTTGGGTCTCGTCGAATCAAACAAGCAATTAACGAGTTATTCATGGGGTTGAGGATCTATCAAAAAGCTATCAAACTCAAAATTTCAGTGATGGTTTATCTTATTTGTTTATTCTAAAACCAAATCGACCTTAACAGGATGAATTATTTAAAAAAGTGGTCGAAATGTTCTATTTTGATGATAACTTATTGACTTCTAAATCGGATGAAAACTTGATGAAACTAGTACGAAAATGTTCGTGTCACCATGTTCTTTCCATTGGCATATAAGTGAATAGGGTTTATCAAGAGAAATACTAGTGGGCCAATTTCACATCTTATGCGCTCCCGTCACCTTCTGGATCCGCCACTGAAAGTACTTCCAAGCAAAAGCAAAATATTCAGGGTATTTACGATTTTGAAAAAGTATTGTATTTTGCACTCTATTAGAAAAAGCAGAATATTGTGATGATACTTTGCAAAGTATGAAAAGCACCAATTATTTTTTGCGAGATAATTGAAAAGTTGTTTGTCTTTCTCTTGTTGATATATTCTAATTTTCGATGAAGTTATGCGATATTTTTTTTTCTTTTATTCTTACCAAATTGATTTATTTTATCCTTTTTTTTATTTTTAATATGCATACGATAGTAAAAATTAATACAGAGAAGCATGAATAAGGTATGAATAAAGACGGTTGCAATGAAAACAAGGTACTTGTTTGCCTTTTGTTTCAGATTTCTATTGGAAACTCTGGATAGAAAAGACTTTTTTCATTGACTTCATATTCATTTAGTATATTAGTTCATGCAATCATCTCTCTTATCCGTTTTGATAATTAATATTTTTATTATAGAATGTAATTAGTAATTATTTAAATAACTTTTTCGATATGTGTTAGTTTTAAATATGAAAAACAAAAAAAAACAACAAAAACCAGATCTTTTATAAATAGTAAACCAAAAGTCTTTTGCTTTTAATTGCATAAATGAACAGTAAATGATTTTATCACAGGTTTATCAACTGTTTTAATAATGGTTAATCGAACAGCATTGATCAATTGTGGTCCTACTTGCCATATATCAATTTTTTTATTACCAATACTTTTACCTTGTGCTACCTTCATCCATTGATGAATATTTGTTGTATCAACTAATTGTACATCAACGACATATGCTCGAATAACTTGACCATCAGTTTGATCTTCTTGAATAACTGAACGATCAACAGTAACTGGTGATGAAACAAATAATTGAATATATTGAAGTGAATCATCGGATATAAGACGTTCCATAGGTAAAACAGGTGTTCCATAACATGAACGAATAAAATCACCTAATTGTTTATAACGACGTGCATAAGCAGATGGAATGAGACCTGTTCGATCAGGAGTAAGATCAAGCATTAATAGACAATTTCGACCAACTGTTTCATGATAGACTTGAATTAATTCGGAAAGTGAGCGAAGTGTTACATTAACACCCTAGATAAAAGATTATTAAACAAAAAAAACAAAACAATAATATCAATTATTTAAAATTTAATCATACCCAAAACCATCGATCATGAGCTTGAAGAGTTGTATCACATTCAGCTGGACAAAATATAGGACTATTTGGATCACCACCATCATTTGTTATTCCTGTGGACCAATTTGGATCAGGTGCAACACCCATTTCAGTACCAATCCATCGTACAGAATTTGGTGATATACCATAACCATTAAATGCAATTGCTTGAGGTTGAAGTTCTGCTAGTAAAGCAGTTATTGGATCTTTTAAAGTTGTTGTATATCTAGATTAATATAAAAGAAAGAAAATTTTCACAATTAAGTTATCTTTTTCATGAATAAACTAACCCGCCATCAAACCAAATCTCATCTAAAGTACCATAATTTGTCCATAGTTCTCTTAATTGTTGTAACACAATATTATCATATGTTTTTTGAGTAATATTTAATTGACCTGGTTTTAATGTACGATTTTGAACCTTGATATTCATTAGAAATAGATTTGAAAAATAATTAAGAAATTCATAACAAAAGAATAACAGCTTCAACTCAGACAAATAAGTTAAACCAATCCAAAAACAAACAAACGAAAGACGCTTTTAGCAAACTTCAAATCACTACAAAGGAAAATATAATTTCTCGGACACATACAGCGTATGAATTAGAAATTCTTTTTTTTTTTTCAAAATTAACATTGTTAGATCCAAAGTTTTTCATGAACTGATATCAAAAATAATTCTGCTAGAAAAATGCATATAAGAAAAAAAACTATTTTGAGAATGTAAAGCGTGCAAGTAGATCGACACACATGCCAACTGATATTCTTTTATTAAAAATTTCTCTCCTATTCTTTTGCAGATCCATAAAATACTAGATGATATTGAAAAAGAAAATTAACTTACAAAACCACTTTCAACATTAAGCCAATTATTGGTTACTACTGTATAATAAAATCCAGTTCGTATTTGTTTGTTTTCACAACTTTTGATAAATTCATCAAGAATATTTATATCTTTCACTGGTGAATAATCAACAGTATAATTATATGAAATAATTTTACCAGTTGGATTCAAAGGAAATTTTACATTTGAAGGAGCCATAAGAAAACCACATGCATGCTATGCATTATCAAATATATAGACATTAGAAGCAAAAAAAATCAATTAAACTTAATTTTTTACTTTTGCAACAAGTACAGCATATTTAGCACCAAAATCAAGCATAGTTTGAACCCAATTGTCTGTATTTAATAAATATGGATTAAATAAAGAAATATTTGGAACTATTTGATCTATACATCCATCATTATTTATATAAGTAGCTATATTAAAATGAATTAATACACCTAATTCTTGAGACTGCCATTGAAGTTGTTCAGGTGCTAAGAAACAAATACGAACTTTGTCTAATCGTAGAAAAGAGCAATAATTACTTACTAGGTAAAGCAATACGTACACCAGTTGTTGGTGAAATACGATATTTTCCAGATGGTAATGGTGAATGTTGTCGTTGTCGTTGATATCGCATTAATCGACCATCATTTTTTAATACGAATAATAAGAACAAAAGAAATGAAACCTTTCTCATCTTAAAAGTCAATAAAACTTGAATTAATTTCATTGAAATTGTAAGATTAAAGTTAGTTTAAGGTCATAATCAATTTCAAAAACATATTAAACAAACAGGAAAAAAAGAAAATTATGTTTATTTTATGTTCTCTCTTGTTAAGCTCAAATATGTCCTTAAGTTATTATTTTATAAGAAAAAAATTTTTTGACTTCAATGAAAAATTTTTTTTCTTCTTCTTTCATTTGCATTATAATTCAATTAAGATTTTATTTCGTCGTTATTACTATTGAAGAAGAAAAAACGAATAAATAAACTAAGTACAACAAGTTACATTTCTTTTTTTTCTCTGGATAGATATTTTGATTGACAATAATAGTAAATAAAAATATTCTACATCATGCAAAAACAAATGTCGGTAAGTAAAAAAAAAAAATTTATACATATTCGTCTTTATCATAATCAGTAATTTAAATCGAATCCGATGCATTCTGTTTATCCGCATAGCAATTATATAAAGATAGTGTTAGAAAAGAAAAGAAAAGAAATAATGATCAATATATGACTATATCTTATTTTTTATATATTAGAATTCTTAAATTAATATTTAATAAAATAATTTCGATAGTTTGTCTTATGAAAAAACAAAAGGCTTAATTAATTTTTTTTTATTTATATATTTCTAGTTTTTAATTGATCATTTTCATATCATATGAATATTTATATGACAATAATGGGTTGTGTACAACCATCTCAAAGTTTTATACCATCTAATCATATTCCTATTGAACGATTATATGATGATGGAAGTTATCCAATGATGATACCTTCACCTATTGTTATGATTACTGCACCACCTGCACCAGCTTATGTAAAAAGTGCATTAAAAAAATCTGATCCTGATGAACAACGAATGACAGAAAGACGTATATTTTCAAAACGACAATTACCATCAGCTAATAAATCAGTAAATTTTGATGAGACAGTATTAGTTAAATCACGTACACCTACACCAAGTAAAATATGGTATGAAAAAGCATCATCAACTATGCCAATGAGATCGAATCGATCTAACGATGATGATGATGATGATGATAATGATAATTATGATGACGACGAAGTTTTGTCTGATGAAGAACAAGAAAGTAATGAACAGATGGATACTGAATCATACATTCCAAGATTAGGTACTCCAACTCCATTAATACGAAGAAATCAAAAAAATTCTTTTTGGAATAAAACTAATACAGTAGGACTTATGCCTTCAACAGATACAACACTAAATAATGAATCTTATCCATTAAATACACAACAATATAGTTCTCAAATGAATATCAATACAACAGAAAATCGAATTGCTTCATCAGGAAATCGTATAAAAGTACGACGAAGATTGCCTCACTTTGGTCCACCACAAATTTCACCTGATTCTTCATATGAACATCCTCGACAACCTTCAGCTATTCCTCTTCAACAATCTTCTCAACAATTTTTAGCTGTTCCACTTCGTCAAACTTCTCGACGACCTTCAGTCGTTCTTCTTCGTCAAACTCCTCGACAACCAGTACCTATTCCTCTTCATCAATCTTCTGTACAACCTACAGCAGTTTTGGCTTATCGATTTCCTACACAAACTTCAATCGTTTCTCCTTATCAATCTCCTGTACAACCTCATACTGTTCTATCTTATCAAACACCTATACAACCTCAAACTACTCAATCTTATCAATCGCCTATACAACCTCAAACTATTCTATCTTATCAATCACCTGTACAACCATCTTCTGAAACCGTTCATGTAAAATAAGCAATATCGAATACAAATAGTGTACTTAATGAACATCAGTCTGCATTAACTAAAGTTGAATTATCACTATCAACTATTTATCATGCATTTAGACATTGTCCTATACAAAAATGTGATTTTAAAGGAAAAAGTAATCTGCAAGTTTTTAAGTATATACTTTTTTTTTTTTTTGATAGAAAAAAACATGCGAGAAAAAAGAAATTTTTTTCTGATAAATAAAACCCGTCTGAACGGTGTATGTAAAAAAAATTTTATTTATAAATAAACAAAATACGAACATATGAAAAATTCACATCGACAGAAACAGATCAAGTGATAAACCGCCTTCAGATACTGGATTAGGTAAACATAAATTATCTCCTATAAATCGATAACATAATAATCTAGAAAGAAAAAAAAAACTCATAATCATCACATAAAATACTTTTAGTTTTTTATTTCAAAATAAAAACAAATAAATTACCTTTCTCGTATTGCTTTTCGTACAGCATCACCTGAATCTTGAAGTAAATCACGATAGAAATCATTCGATAAAATAACACCATTACGTACTACAGCTACATCAACAATTAATCTTTCATTAAAGAATGGAAAAAACATAAAAGCTTATTGGCATTTTGATAAAAAAAACAAAGATTCTTGCATTTTACCTATCATCATAAAATCGTTTATTTTTATCATCAATTTTTTGTTGAAATGCTTTATGAACTATTTTTCGACGAATTAAATCAGGAAAAACACGTTCTTTATCTTTTGATAAATAATGTGCTGGTAAAATAACAACAATTTTTGAATCAGGATAACCATATGCATGAAATAAATCAACAGCTAATTTAATACCACGTGCAGAAAATTCGGAATCTCCATATCTAAAGAAAACGATAGAAGAAAGAGTAAAGGTGAATAAGGACTTGTTTTGATCTATGGATTTTTTTTTCTTAGAAAAGAACATTAAAAATGATCAGATTTTGTAGCGATTGAGCTGACAAATCTAATCGTGTATAGATATTGACGCGAAGTCTTAAATTAGGAATACTTATACCTCTTACAAATTTGATTATCGTCATAAAATTTCTTCATGTTGTGAACTAAGAAGATAGATGCTTCTTCTGAGATAGAATCAGAAGCCAATCAACTTACTGATAGTGTGATCAATAGAGCAAGAACATACATAGTTTGTTCAGGAAAAAGTATGGCTACATGTTTGGAGACGAAATTCTTTTATTCGAATCGGTAAAAGTGACTATTCTTTTAACTGATATTTGTCAATTTTTATCAGATTCATTACTTTTCTAGTTAAGATAAATAGCTTATTTGAAATTAGAATCAATAACTGAGTTAATCTATATGTGTTTCAAAATTTTCGGACAGCTTTTAGTTCCATCGAAAAATTTACTCTCGGCTCCTCTCAGAGTTCAGCTAGAAACTGAACTTAATCACAACATCACTTTTAATGCGTAACCATCTGCCTTTTTGACTGAACCCTGAAGGGAACCAAGGACGAATTTTTCGACGAAAATAAAAGTTGTTCAAACAATTTGAAATACATATAGATAAACTTAGTTGTTGATGTTAATTCTAAATGAGCTCTTTGTTTTGACTAGAAAAGTAACGAATCTAACAAAAATTGACAAATATCAGTTAAAAAATAGTCACTTGTACAGATTTGAACAAAAAGATTTCGTCTCCGAACACGTAGCCATACTTTTTCCTGAACAAATTATGTATGCTTTTGCTCTATTGATCACACTATCAATAAATTTATTAGCTTCTGATTCTATCTCAGAAGAAGCATCTATCTTCTTAGTTCACAACATGAAGAAATCTTATGATGATGATCAAACTTGTAAGAGGCATAAATATTCCTAATTTAAGACTTCACGTCAACATCTATACACGATTAGATTTGTCAGCTTAAGCGCTGCAAAATCTGATAATGTTAATGTTTTTTTAAGAAAAAAAAAAAGAAGTGAACCAAAACAGATCCTTATGCACCACCGTCCTTGACTTAAAAAGAAAAGGTTAATTAAAAACATACGTTCTTCCAATATTTGCTCCATCAATAATAACATCACGTAAAGTTTGTCCTTTTAATTTTTGACGCATTTCACGTACAAGATCATTATCATTTATATCCGATGTTTGTTGACGAGGATTATAATGACGAGAATGTGCATTTTGTTTTTTTGGTTTAACAATAAATTCATTTAAAGCAGTTTCACGAGCAGCTGGCCTAAAAATAAAAGAGAAAAAAATCTTTCTTTTTTTTCTTATTTCATTTCAAGAATTAAATTTTTAACTCACTCAGCACCGGGAAAAGCAATTTTTAATTTTGGTTCTTGTCTAATAGGTGAAGGTAAAAAACTTTCTTCTTGTTGTTCATTATCATTATTATCTTTTATTATTATTCTATTTTTAATTGGTGATAAAGCTTTTTCTTGTTCATCAAATTGATCTTGTTCATCAACTGTTGTTAATTGACTTTCAAAATTATTTGATAAAGATTCTAAAGCTGATTGTGTATTCATAATTATTGATTTATCCGATGCAAGAACATTTGATATAGCTTTTCGAAAATCATCTATTGCCAAAAATAAAACAGTTAATGTTGTTGAATGAAATGTAAGCATTGGTGAATCTGTTTTATCTTCAATTTCAATATGAACTAAATATTCTTTCATTAAACGATTTAATAATTCATCATCACATAATATTTGTTTATATTCTAGTGGATAGGGAATTGATTTTGTATGTTTTGGTTCAAGATAAGATAAAATATATTGCTAGAAAAAAAAAAGATTAATTAACATATGTTTTATTTCAAAAACAGAAAAAATAGAGATTCAATACTTACTTCTGCATGTTCACCGACAGTTTTATCATTACAATTAACGTGTACATAAATATAATCATTACTTGTTGCAGCTGAATAATAATAAAATTAGGTTTTTTTTATTAACGTTAGAAAGAAAAAAAAAGAAAGAAATTCAAATACATACGTATACGATATCGTAGATGAGCATTAAAACATAATAAAAGAAACTGTTCTCGATTGATTAAATGCCAAAAGTCATCTTGTTTTATTGTCAATTCTTTTCTCATTGTTATTTATTTTTTTTGTTTTATTTCTATAAAGATTTATTCCATAGAAAAAAAAAGACAAGGAAAAGCAAATATTAAAAATTTTCTCTTCTGTAAATATTTCTTTATTAGAATTTTGATTGAAGAAAGTAAAAAAAAGAAAACAACCAAACCAACCAACAAAAGACAAAAAAAAAGATTGATTTATGCACAAAAGAAAATGACATTTGTCACAACTAATATTTAGAAAAAAAAAATGAGCACATCATCATTATTATTTATACAAAAAAAAAAAAGAAGAAATCCTGAGAATTATAGAAACAAAAAAAAAAACAACCACAGCAATTAAAGATGCTAACAACTAGTTGAAGCCATTGAACCTGGTCGTACTCTTGGATAAAGCTAAATAAAAATAAAATTTAGAAAAAAAAAAAAAGAATAAAATTTATTATAACATACTCCAAGATAATTTCGTGGTACATATCCTTCTTGTTGTGTAGTTTCATGTTTAGCCCACCACCATTCATTTTCATTTTCATCACCACGTCTTAATATTCTTAATTGATCACCATCTTTGAATGAAAGTTCATTATTATTTGGATCATCTGATGTATTATTACTAGGTTCAAAATCATATAAACCATAAACTAAACTATTATTTATTACACCCAAATCATTTTGTACAACTAAATTATAAAATATTTATAATAATAGTATCAATTTATTAAATGAAAATTTCGTCACTAAAAACACTGTACATCTCAAATCTTGTGTAGTCGACAAGCAACTGCAACTAAATACTTATAATTTGAATCATGTGTCTTTCTCATATCTTCTAAATTATTTGAGATTTATTATTTTACTCTCTTAAGATTAATCATTTGAAGAGTTTCATTCTGTATATTTATTTTTGTCGAATTAAATACATCATAATACAATTTGTAAATAACTTACATAAAAGATATTGTGAACAAGTCGCATAATTTTCTTCTTCTTCTTCACATTTTTCAGCAGCTGTTTCATTATCTCGAATAGTTGTTGCATAAATACAAGCACCATGTTCAACTAAAAATTGTACCATTGGTGTATTATTACATGATGCTGCACAATGTAATGGTGTCCATCCATCATTATCAGCAAAATTAATATCACAACCAAATTCAACTAAAAATTTTACACAATCAAAATTTGATGCACATACAGCATTATGTAATGCTGTTAAACCTTCATCATTTGGTTGACTTGGATTTTCAACCTTAATATTAAAAAAAAAATGAACTTTTCTTTTTTTTTGAAAATTTACTTTACCTCTTTTGCTGCTTTCATAACAAGATCAAGTTCTCCAACAACAGCAGCATCAAGAAGAAGTGCTAATGGATCAAACATAACTCGTCTTGTTAAATTTTTTGGTGTTGTTGAAGTTTTTAATAATGATTTAAGATTCATAGTTAATGTTGTTACTGTTGTTGTTATTGTTGTTGGTGATGATATAGCTGATTCAATACCATCGGAATGTTCACCTTCAGATTCTGTATCAGAAACAACTGATTCAATCATAACTTGTTGTTCTTCATGATGAATTTTTTGTTCATCATCATTTTTATTATTAAGATTTGTTTGTATATCAATAAGATTTTCATATGCAACAACTGTTGGTATAGGTGAAATTTTTGTATCAGTTAATAATTGATTTGATGAATCATCACGAACTTGTATTGCTTGAGATTGTATAGTATTATTATTATTTGATGAAACATTTGATGAAAGATATTTTATTAATGAATCAGCTGGATCTGATAATGAATGACGTTTTTTTATTGTTGATGTTACATTATTAAAATGTACAGAAAGTATATCATCATTTAAACGAAGATTAGGTGGTAATAATTGTTGTTCAGTTTTATTTATATTACTATCCATCATATCTGTAGCTTTTTTATTATTTAATAATGATGGAGATATTGATTGATTTGATGTACGTGCCATATATGTTGCTGCTATTTCACTTTTTGATGCAAATGCTATTTTAGATTGTTGATTTGATAATAACATACCATTAGGCTACAGATAAACAGAAAGAATTGTTGGTTTCTTTTTTTTACCTCGACATACAATTTTAACATGAAAATAAATGTTTTAATAAATAATCTTACAGTTGGATAAGTGTTCATTATTTGACTGACGAGAAGACAAGTCAAGTTCATCTCCTTCTGGTGATTTCTGAGTTATACTAATGGACCTCTACAAACTTCTTATGATGTATACAAGAAAATAAATCTTCGTACCTCATCTGGACATGAGACACCGGGGCACATCGGTGAAGCCAAGCCTAACGATGGAGCTCATATATGAGTGGCTGATGGTCGATCGAAGCCTGGTATCCGTAGATTGACTGTAACTAATCCGAGCAGGATATGGGTGTTCACAGGGTAACAACAACAACATATGGCTAGCGATGGTTTCGCCAACTGTCCTAGTAGTCATACGACGATGGCACAATGCCTTAGTGGCATGTTCAGTAGAAATATTCGACTGGCAGTAATTTTAATTAATATAGTCTAAAAGTTCTTTTCAAATGAATGGAAGTCATTAAGAATCTATTAGTTGAACTTGTTCAAATAAAATAAATGCTTATGTAATCTCCGATTTTTATATAAACAAAGAAGTAGTCATCATCGATTTGACTAAGTTCACTCGAATCATTAAGTGATCAACCAAAAAAAAAAAACTTTGTTTGGAAAATTTTTTTTTTTATTCAATAACGAAATGGTAAAATTTAGTTTTTTTTTCAAAATTTCTTTTCAAACACTTGAATATAATTTCTTAATAATATATAACAAATACTTTAATTGAAGTTAAAGAGTAGAAATTCTCTCAATATTAATAATAAATATTTTGACTTCTCATACGAAAAAAAAAAAAAAAAATTTTATATTTTATCTTTTTTTTGTCTTTAAGATAAATAACTAATTGAAATTCGACAAACCTTTTTTGGACTATTTGAATTATTAATTTGTTCATTAATATTTGTTGGTGATGATGATGTAGCATTAAATGAATTAGCTAATTGTACCATACGTTTTTCAATTTCAGCTATTTTAACATTATTTAATGTATCTTGTACAGTATCAAAAGCAGTACGATAACCAGTTGTTGATGTAAAAGGTTCAACAACTGCTGTTGTTGTTGATGGTGGTACTGATGGTGTTGATATAGTTGTACGATTTGATGTAAATATACGTTTTTTTTTTAAACGTTGTTGAAGTTCTTCTATACGACGATCTAATTGATTTAATTCAGCTTGTTTTGATGCATAAACTTCACGTTGATAAGCTATTTTTCGACTTTGTTGCTCATTTAATTTATTTCGAATCTATAAAAAGTTTTTAAAAAAAAAAAAAAATATTTTTTTTTTCATGCAAAAAAAAAAATTTTTTTACCATTAATTCTTGTTTTAATTTATCTAATTCATTTTTATTTTGTGATTGTTCTTTATTTGTTGTTATTTTAATTTTTCTTAATTGATCAAGTTGTTTTGTTAATTCATCAACTTTATTTAATGCTATTGTTAATTCATGTTCTTTATCAAAAAAAATTTGTTTTAAAATTTCTAATTCATTTGCTAAAATAAAAGAATAATAAAAATTTAATTCTTTTTTTTCGATTTTGAACAAACCAAGTGTTGAATTTGAATTTCTTTGTTGATTTATTTGATTTTGAAGAGTTTTTAAACGTAAATGTTTAAGTTCTTGTTGTTCAATATGTTCTTTTAAACGTTTAAGACGTAAACTATCATGTGATGTTTGTTGTTGTTTTACTTCTTGTTGTTTAAGATATTTTAAACGTTGTTCACGTGCAAGTAATAATTGTTGATTATGTTCAATTTGTTGTTGTTGTCGTGCTGCCATTTCTTGTAATTCAGATAATGATAAATCCATTGACAAACTACTGATAGCAAACTAAAAAAAGAATAGATAATAATAATAATGAAAAAAACAAAATGAAATATTATTATTTGTAAATTACTCCATTTCCATTAGTTTGTTGTTGTGGTTGTTGATTATTATTTATATCGTGTGATGATGGATGATTATTATTATTTAGAGTTGGTGAACGCATCGTTGTTCGTCGTCGCTGATGATGATTATGGTTGTTGTTATTGTTGTCTCAAAGAAGAGAAGAAGAAGAACACGGTAAATGTACATAGAACGACAACGATAGAAGGGTCAAACATTTTCTTCCCATTTCTTCTCTCGTCGTTCATTCACTTCGAACATACATAAATGCTACTGGTCTTATGTTCGATGACGACGATCATAATGTAGAAGAGGAAAAAAAGGAAAGAACAATAAATTCTATGTTCAATCGAAGAGCAGGAACTCACTTGAGAGAAGAAAAAAAAAAAGAGAAAGAAAAAGCTTTTACTTATTGTTCATATTATGTTTGATGTAATAGTTGATCGAAGTTATTTCTCAGTAAGAGCAAAGAACTGGTAACATACCATGTATACGTCGTACAACAATTTTGAATTCTTCAATGGCTTGATTACGAGTAATTACATCGAATAAACAATCACCCAGTGGAATCTCTCGTTCTAGATAAATAAACAAATTTATTTGACATTATCTCTTACAGATTTGTTCAAAAAAAAAACCAATCATTCCAAGGTTTTCTTTTCTTCTGATTGTTTATTTATCTTAAGAAACCCTTTCTATGTCTTCTTCCCCTCCAAAAAAAAAATGTTCTTTGAAAAAATTTAAAAAATTCATATATAATACCAAATCCAAGACATGTTTCGACAAGTCGAGCTGTATTTGGTTCTGGTATATAATGTGTTAAAACTTCTCGACATGTTGTTTGATTAGTTATTCGTAGTATTTGACGTGTATATCGATGAGGTTGCTGTGGATGAGGATGATAAAGACAAATTTGAAGCTATAAAAGAATATTTTAATTAGAAATCAGTTGGTTTTTTTTTCTGATTATGAGAATAAACAAAAACAGTTAATAAATCTGATTTATTTACTTGATCATCATTTATCATTGTTCATAGTTATAAATCTGATCTAGAAATTCTTATTGTTTTATTCCGATAAATTCAATGTCAATATATAAAAGAAAGAAATGTGTGTATATATATATATATATATGTATATCCTTCGAATGTCATATTTACTTTTCTTAAATATATAATTGGTCGGTTAACAATCAATAAAATTATTAATCAAAATCTTCTATTTATCTATTGATAGTCATTTCATTTTAAATGTTCTAGGAAAAGTAAAATCATCTTAATACAAAAAAAAATCTCACAATTTTTTTGATCGAAATATATTATCATCAACTAGCGACTACTATCGTCTGCTAATTGAACCTGATCCAATGAAAAAAAGAAATTTAATATTAAAAAAAGAAAAAATTGTATTGCTCTCTTCAATAATGTTAAGATCATAAAATTTTGTTCGCAAATGGCGTAAAAATTATATAATTTAACCTTCACCGATTGATTAAATCATCTAGAAAGAATGAACTTCTTTTTCTTTTCATCGTATCTTATATTCAATGGTGGATTTAGGATTTTGAGGAGGAACAGGGGGGTATTATTAGTCAAAAAAAAATGTGTTTTGAAGACGATTAAAGGTTTTATCGGCTCATTTTTGAGCATTATTTACTGAGAAAAATTCAAAAATATGCCAGAAGGGAGAGGCGATTGCCTCCACTGTTTCTCCTCAAAATCCCTAACAGCAAAAATTTCATATTTGTCTTTCGTGAACTACAACAATGTAATTATCTCTTTTATGCAATTCTATTAATCATTTGTTATTCATTGAAAACGAAGAGAGAACTTTTTTATTTTATTATTTATTTAAAATAATAAAAAATAATAGATGAGTGTCTATTATGGTAATGGATCTGTCTTTTTTTTTTTATCAAATTGATGAATAATTCTTTGTAGTGTTTTATCCTACATGGGAGTTGAAGAGGCAGTGCTTCTCTGGAATTCATTGTTACTTGTGTCATATACTATGTGTCTGTGCTTCAAAAAACAGATGTTCGTCCTCTGAGAGTTTTAGATCGCTCCTCTGTAAGAGAAAATCTGAATAAAATATTGATTCTTTGGTCAATATTCATTCTTTTCTATTAAAATCATTTAAAAAAAGAAATCTTTTATTTATCGATAATTAAATTAATAAACTTTTATAGTTTTGATTGGAAGATAAATTATAAACATTTCGTATATTTAAATAGAAAATAGTGAACAAATCAATTTTCTAATAGATCTTCGAAATTTACTATTTTACAAAATTGTATTTGCAAGATAAAGAAAACTTCGATTACTGTTTGATTACTTCAATATTTATATATTATACTATATTGTATCTTTCGTTAAATATGTTAGATAAATTTATATAAAAAAAAACAACTAACGTAAAACTACTCAAAGCTATTTATAACTTTTGACTTCATGTTTTTAGACATTTCGAAATTACCTCTAAATTCGAATAATTTTAAAAGAATTTGAGAGTATATGTTTGCTTTAGAAGTTTATAATAATTTTAATGGGTTTTAAGTGAATGACGAAGGACTAACAGGAAAAAAGAATCGAGAGTTTTGCGAACATTGAATATCTCAAGAATAAAGCAATCATTTTTGACTGAAACTTTTAAGATAATCCTAGATTAGTATTAAGTACTTATAGGCTAAGTTTCAGGTTAAACATTCTTCCTGTCTCAATTTACGTCGTTCTTTAGTTGAAATCCATTAAAGATATTATAAATTTATAGAGCACATCTATGTGCTCAAATCTTTTTCCGGTCATTCTAGTCTAGAGGGAATTTCTAAATGCCTAAAATACAAGCTTAAAAGTCATGAGTGAATCACTTTGAGCAATTCCTTCGTAAATGTCAAACATGAAAAGAAAACATGTTCAAGAACTAAGAAAGAGATCATTTTCTTTGATTTCACTTGTTTGTCTATGGAATACTGCACTAATCGTACGAAATGGCCACAAGGATGACTCTCGTCTCTCATTATCAAGTCCAGGTAATGTTGATTCACGACGTAATGGATGTCTTTTCGGTTGTGATTGTGGTAATGTTGATTGAACTGTTATCGATAAAGGGAAAGAAGGTGACTGATCAAGAATAAATGGTGGTGGCCATTGTTGATGTACTTGTGATAAAGATGGTCGATTCGCTGTTGAATGATCGATAAGAAATGGAATTTCTTGTAAACTATATGCAGATGTTCTTTTTTAAAAAATAAATAGAAATAGTAAAACGCTAATTAATTTTTTGATAATTACCTTGTTTTATTATTATTATTTGTTGATATTCGTGAATCAAGATCTGATTGTTGATCACGTTTCATTCTAAATAAAAATTGTTTTTTTTTGTCTTATCAATATATCAAAAAAAAAAAGTCAAATAATAAATTATTATCATTAAATACCCGAATATACACATAAAACATAATCGAATATTTTTACATAATGATTTTGGACAACATCGTACACTATGTGGTGATCGTTCTTTTGATGAACATTTATAACGACATATCATCCAACCTAATGCTAATGTAACAAAAATTCCAACAACTGAAGGCCATATAATATCTTTATTATCATTATATACATTGTATGATGATTCGGATGAAGATTGTAGAATAAATATTTTAGTTGTATTCTCAATTTTTGTCATTTTCTATCTGTTAAATAATATCAATGGTTTATACACCGATTAAAAGTTATTATTCGAACGGAAAAATACAATAATGAAAATGAGCTAAATATATATGTATATATATATATATAAAGCGAAAGAATAAGAGAACGAAGGAAAGGCATACAATCAACTTCCGTTATGGTAAAAAAAGAAAACACAAAACCTAACGGATGTAAAAAAAGATACTAATAATTGAGTAATGAGAAAAATTAGAAATAAAAGAATTTATTTGAAATTTAAAACAAGAAAATTTTTTTTGAAAAATTATTCGTTATAAATAATCGTTATAAAATTTAAAAAGAGAAAAAAAAACTAATCCTTATATAACTTTGTTTTTCTCTTTTCTTGTTTTTCATTTATAATTCAAAGAAAATACGGATGAGTGAGAACGAATAAAATAATGAGTTCATCGTTCCTTGGGTAGATTTATAAGCCATATCCGATGTAAATTAAGCATAGTCGTGATAATTTCTTTTTGAGTTTCTTACTTTTTTTCTTTCTTTCTCCTGTTCAGCAGGAAAAAAACCGACGAGAAAAATCTATTGATTAACTTTCTATCATTCAGTTTGGTTGTTTTTTTCTTCTTCTTCTAAATTTTACCGAAGAAAAGCTGAAACCAATTCAATTAAGTACTAATATAAAATATCGACACCGAGAAAAAATAAGGTGGAGAAAAAAAAAAGGGACAAGATTATTTTTTAGTAGGTATAAGCCGAATAAACACTCAAAAGGAAAATACTTGACGGTGAATAACTAAACGAGAAAAAAGAAGTGTATGGCTTATGAAGACGTACTTGCTTAAGAAATATGACCTAATTCTATAGATGAGTCTTGTTTGATTTTGATCGAGGGAAAACAAAACCAAGAAATTTAATTCTTGAAAAAAAAATATTTTTTAGATAAATTTTTATTGTCAATTGTGAAAAAAAACATAACTTCTTGTTTTGTTTTGAGAATTAAATCTGAATAGAAATCTTTTTTTTAATAAATATCCTTATTTGATGACAGAGATTATCGTAATAATTCTTTTTTTTTTTTTCTAAACTACGTCATTCGGAAGAACAACAAATGCTACTTAATTTTTTGAAAGAATATTTTTACAAATTATGTTATGTTTGATGTTCTTTGAGCTGCTCTATTTTTTGAATAGGAAATTCATTAATTTCATGCAATGATAAAAAAAGAAAACAAGTTGCCATAAACATATAATGTTCTGTCAATCGTAAACAGTCTTCCGATTGTGGGAGATCATCTATTTTTAAAATTTTACTTCTTATTTCCTTCTTTTTATTTTCATTGACTCAATAGTTTTAATTTAGATGAACAATACTCATCATTTGAAATTTTTTTTTCTTTTATTATTATATATTGTAATTTTAATGCAACCTTGAACCTGTCAGATTTCCGTTTATTCTTATTTAATAAGAGATATTTTGATTAGTGTTCATGTTTTTACGTATGTGAAATTAACTTTAATACTCTTTTAAAAAATATCTTTTATAATATGGTTCAAGATTTATATTATATTTTTCCTCAAAAAAAAAAAAAAAAATGATTCATTCAAGGTTAAAATGTTCTTAAATTAATGAAGTATGAACCAATGGGTAGATAATTATTCACACAAAATGAATACTGTTGCTTTGAGTGCTTAGGCAAAACGATATGCATTTATTGAAATTTTCTATCGAGACTATTAAACATCTTCCTCATCTATACACTTGAACGGAACGTTGATTTATTAAATTCTCTGAAAAGAATATAAAATTATAGAAAAAATGTAAAGATGCATTAACATAAAAACATGATAAATATAATTCATAGAAATTTAAAAAAAGAACGACTGAAATAATTATTTTATAATGAAGTAATACAATGATTATTCAATAACAAGAAAAAACGTGATATTTCAAGGACGAAGTGGACGAGTATTGTCAATATTAATTTGAATTTTTAATAATTGCGTAAGTTTTTCCGTATAATGTTGTTCATCATAATTTTCAGGTAAATAAATTGAAAATTGAATTTTCCAAGGTCGTGTACAAGTTCTTTTAAAAGTTAATCTTAATATTTTTTCATTAGGAAATATAATTCCATTATCAATAATATTATTTCGAGTACTTATAAGTAATAATTCATCAAGAACAATACCATGTGATGATAAAATAATATAACCATAACCTCGATTATTTAATTGTTGTTTTTGTTTATAATAACAACAATTTAAATATTTTATTTTCTTTCTAGAAAAATAATAATCTAATTGTTGTTTCCATTGATTACCTTCTAATTTTAATTCAAAAAAATTTTCTCGAATTCGATCTAATGGATTATAACATGCATAATTTATCCAGAAATAAATCGAAAATATAAATAAAATTGGTGAAATACAAACTGTTATAAATGTAAATACTTCAAACATGATAACAACATTACAAAGAGACGAATTCGATTGAGGATCTTTTAAATTTTGACAACGATTAGATGTTAACCAATAAGATACCCAAAAAGTAATTCCTAATGTCATTGAAAGTAATGTACAATAACTTATATCCATACATCGTCGATGAGCTTGATTTGCATATATATCATTAAGAACATCAAGAACACTACGAGGTAAATTAATACCATCAGAACTGATTGTTGATGGACTTGTTTGAAGAATTGCTTGAGGATGACGTTGTTGTTCTTCTTCTTCGATACTTGATACTCGATTGAGATTTGCATCATCTCTACTTTGTTCAAGCATTTCAAATACGTTAGTTTTTTTTTGTCCACAACATAGATATATATATAGTTTTTACATTGAAATAGTTATCTTTTTTCGTCATATCTTTCTTTTGTTTTGTCAACAAAAACAAAACTAACACATTGTTATAAATGAGTCATAAAGTAAAAAAGAAGATTTTATTAACAAGAGTTTTGTGATTGAAAATGTTACATTGTTTCTCTTCATTACAAATTTATATCGGAAAACTCAATATCCAACAAAAGAGATTCACTAAATTCATCATTGTCCACTTAACTTATTAAAATTGATATATACCCCTGGAAAGCAAAAGTTAGACACTATGTTTAACCTCTTTTTACACTCGAAAAGAACATTTCGAAAAAAGTAATTATACCATTCGATAGCGCTTGAAATTCTCTACCAGTCTGTGTATTTGTACTTTAGTTTGCGCTTGAACATTATGAAAATAAATTGAGTATAATGAAGGCATCTCCATGTCCTCATTCCCAAAGACGGACTTTCTAATTTTTAATATTTTTCATTACTATAGAAACACATTTTTTTAAAAGTAATTATATATTCTGACAGAGCTTGAAATTCTCTATCATTCCATATATTTATATGTTGCTTTGCATATATCTGTTGGAAAATAATTCGAATACAATAAAGACATCTTCAATTGACAAGTATTAAAAAATCCGCATTGTTTGCTACTTTTTTAGTATTTTTACCAAATTATTTTTCATATAGAATAAATTTTCACAAAAGTAATTATACATTCTGATAGCTCTTGAAATTCTCTATCAGCCTATATAAAAGTATTTTGCATTCAATATAAGTAGCAAAAAAAGTCAGTGTGTCTTCGAAATTGTCAATTGAAATTTCTTCATTGTATTCAAATAATTTTTTAACAGACAAATGCAAAGCAATACATAAACAGATGGGATGATAGAGAATTTCAAGCTCTATCAGAATATATAATTACTTTTTTTAAAAAGATAATTTTATAGTGATAAAAAATTAAAAAAACTATTTTCTATGCCAGTGACAAAATCCAGTCTGTGGGAATGTGGACATGGAGATGCCTTCATTATACTCAATTTATTTTCATAATATTCAAGCGCAAACTAAAATACAAATACACAGACTGGTAGAGAATTTCAAGCGCTATCGAATGGTATAATTACTTTTTTCGAAATGTTCTTTTCGAGTGTAAAAAGAGGTCAAACATAGTGTCTAACTTTTGCTTTCCAGGGGTATATATATATATATATTTGATTTTTATGGAGAAATTTATCGAAATTCATAGTACATGACAAAAAAGGAATCAGACTTACACAAAATATTAAGATATATTGAAAAGTAATAAGACATTATTCAAGTATAATCAAATACGTCTCAATTAATAAAATTTATTTTCATTCTAAATTAGTTTTCTTTAAAATATAAATAATTACCAATATTTATATAAGAAGTATGTCAAAAGTTTCTAGACAAAATATATGACCATGTTTTCGCATATTTAAATACATTGTTAATGTATTAGAATAAGAGATTTGTACTTCTTCAGAATATATGCTTAGAATTTTAACTACTGAGCTATAAATAAATCTTGATAGAACTTCAAAAAAGTTTTCTGGAGAAGTAAAAATCTTATTTTTCTGAAGACAAGTCTACATAAAATAAGTTCTGTAAATATCTAGTACTTTATATGACGAAAGATCATTTTGTGATGAAAAGATAAAAATCGAAAAAATAACCGTTTTTCTTATGATAGATTTTATAAAAGTCTTTACTCCATTTCGACAAGTTTCATTTGAGAGTTTTTCCTCTAATAAAAAAATTGCTTGAATTCTATCAAGATTCACTTATAGCTCAATAGTCAAAAGTTATAGGAAAATTCTAAGCATATATTCTGAAAGAATAGAAAATTCTCCTGACTAAAGCATTTAAATACGCGAAAAAAATAGTCAAAAATTTTGTCTAGACACTTTCATCCCACTCCTTACATAAACTTTGAATACACAAGTCAATACATTGAATGATGTATTTTTTGACTGGTGTTAATTTTCTGAATCTTAGAAATCACTAGATACACCTTAAATTTTATCAATGCTACGAAGTCTTTCTATTGTCTTTCTCTGCATTAGTGTAAAAAAATATATGATCATAGATTTTTTCATGTCGACTGTCAATAGTTATTAGAACTTTTGATAAAATGTTGGATCTTATTACACAAAATAACAGAAAGTCAATATGTCATTAATTTGATCGTCTGTTTGTAAACATATCGTGAACATTCATAGTTTATAATGATTAACAAACGCAATTTACAAAAAAAAAACAGCACTATGCATGAGACTCACATGTCGAACTAGAACCTATCACTAGTTAATGTTCTTTTTACATTCACTTCAATGTAAGATTCTTGTGCTGAAAGCAACACAGATCTTCACTTTCTGACAAGATCAATGTAGACCGATTTTTGGCTAATTAGGCAAGAACTACCGTATCCGTAAGGTTCTTATGTTCATTTCGTTTTTTCTTTAATTCTTGCCCGAATCCTTGTTTTTATTTGAAGTTTCTTTCTGATTCTTGTGATTTAGGCGTAGCCGCTTTATACGTTAACATGATCACATTCTGTCGTCATTGTCTTATATTTAATATAAGCTTTCAGTTAAATACGCAAAAAGAAAAGAATGTTCCATTTCACAGAACGTGCGAAAAGAAGAGATGGAGAATATTTACAATGATAAATAAAAAGAACAAAATACAAATCTAACAAGTTCATCATTAAGATAAAAAGGAGAAACGATTTATCTACATTAAAAATATGTACGTTTTATAGTTCGTCGTCTTCGTCTTGATAGAGTTGTTGTTAATTAATTGAATGACTCTTGTTCATTAAATTGAACACAATAAATATTACCTATCGTCGCTTAGAAATGAATAACTAACGTTCAGATGTTCGAATACAATTTATATGAATGTGTGTACATAAACATCATGTGCCATTTATCTTTAGGACCAAATAACAATCTTTTAATCGAAAAAAAAGAATCTTGTCTAAGCTTTAAGAAAACTTAGATATCTCGTGTAATTCTCTTCAGGTTTCTAATTTCTTGATTTATCAGTAGAGATTCTTTTCACCTGGAATTTCAAGATTAAAAAGAATCTTCATTAATCAATTAGGAAAAACACATAGTTGGAAAGAATGTTGATTAGTGACAAAATCTTATGATGTTGATGATTTGTTGATACTTACCTTCATGATTAAAATAATTATCTCTACAGAGATGAATACATATACAACTAATTATATTTTCATTTGTTTATCCAGTCTTCATCATTGTTTGTTTCATAATTGTTATACAATGTCAATTATAAAATCTTCAAAAAAACAAAAAAAGAATCCACTGCTGCTCAGTGGTTTTTGTTATTGATATGACAATAAATCTCAATCGATTTGACGTTGTTATAAAAATAATTGTGCTGATAGTACACAATGTACCAAAGTAACAGATTGTATTTATGCACCGAATTCTGAAGAAGCAATTTCAATGCAATTCAAATCGAAGTTTTTTTTTAATCTGTATATGAACTTATTGAAATAAAATTGTTTTCTTATATTTCTTTAATTTGTTGTTTATATCAGACTTAATTCTTAAGGTGTTCATATGCCAGAGGCTCATCTGTCGGTGTATGTATTCTACTATTTATTGATGTAATAAACTCTTTTATGTTAATTATTTTATAAAATTACTAGTAAATTTATCAGAAATTTTGTTTAGTCCTACATCGCAGAAAAGATCATTTGTAATAGAAAGTTTTTATTTTAACTTTCTATATTCAGTCGAACTTTATACTTTGACAAGAACGTTAATTTTAAATAACATTGTTTATATTTATTTATTTATTTATTATTACAAAATATAAAAAAAAGAAAATATCAAATTTAAAGAAACCGTAGAATTTGTCGCAATGATGATGAAATATTTACACCAACTAATTTCCATTTTAATGAAGAAAAATCAAGTTTTTCTAAAATTTCTTTTTGTAATTGTGGTTCCATATTATCTTGTCGACTAATTAAATAAAAAAAATAAAATAATTTAATATACAAAAAAAATAAAATAAAATAAAACATACGTAAATATTTTAAAAAAATATCGTTCAGAAAATGCAGCGATACCTTGAAATTGTGGGAAAGTAATTTTTGCATTTGATGATAACTCAAGAAGACCAATTACTTGTGTAATTAAATGAGAATCAATTGTACGCATATATGCATCAGATAAAGCATCTGGAAGAATCTAAATATTTTCAAAAATATTCTTTTTAAAATAATAATAATAATAAACATTCAAGAGTTTATAACAAAATGCAATCAGCTATATAATGTTATTTTTCACATATATTTTTAATTTTTAAGTTATAAAATCTTGTAACAAGTGTTTTTTTATTTGTTCTCTTTTACCTTGACATTTAGTTCTCCTTCACTGTCTTTATGCTTGTCAAAAACACGTTTGTATAATGCATAACGACGATTATTCACTCGACAATATTTTTCTAAATAATCTCTTGGTGTAAGTACTATGAAAATAATTTTTAATTTTTTTTTATATAATTATCAATAAAAACAAAAATAAAAATTTACTTTCAAAAAGTTTAACATCAAAAGGTATCCAAAATCGACTTGCTTGTTGTGATAGAATAACACTATTCATACCAGTATAAGAACGTGTTTGCTATTTACTTATATAAAGTTAATTAAAAAAGAATTAAATAATTACCTTTTAAAAACTTACTTCATCATGATTAAACATGAATCCATTAGAACTTTCGTGCATCTTGTTTTTTCTTTTTTTTTTTTTGTAATTTAATATAATGACTTTCGTCTTTTTTTCCTTGCTTTTTCTTCTGTTATTTTCTTTTTCTACTACTTGATTAGTTATTCTGTAAACAAGGAGAAACAGACACTTGTTGCTACTCGTTTCTTTTTTTAATCTTTAAATTCAACTATTGATATGTGTTGGTTTTGTATTGCCGCCACACGCACTCGTCAAAAATATGCGGAACGGTAAAGGAAAGAAAAAATTGAGTTGAATACGTTTTACTATTGACTTTTAATTGTACTTACTTTTGTTTTTTTGTATATGTTTTGCATTTGTCATCGATTTAGAAAAAAAAATGTTAATATAATACGTTCGTCTAACTTCTTATCGAGTAAATAATCGGACAATTCTCATATTTCTTATGTCAATTTAATTAATGAAGAGAAGAAAAAATAACATAAGAATATTTTGTTAGTTACGAATATTATTGTATACATACAAGGTTTCTTTGGTTTTTTTTTTGTTTTTTTTAGAAAAGTCATTTTTTGATTTATTATTCATTTTACAATTTGAATTTAATACTTCTTTAAATAAATTAGTTAACAAGACTATTATGTATTAGTCGAAGATTTTATCAAATACAAATTTTTGTTTTAATTATAAAATGAAATGATCAACGACGGAAAAGCTAACAAATGATTACTTAGTAAGAAGTAAATATATGAATAAGTTAATCAACGAACGAATGTATGACAAACAAACGAAGTGCCTTTCAACTGTATCTTATCTTCTATTATATTTTTTCTTTTTCTCTGAGCATAGTTTTACAGAAAAATTATCTATGAGAACAGACTTTGAATTCTCTTTGACAAGACTAACTGTTTGAAAAACATAATCGAAAAATTTTAATCAAAGATAATCCGAGAAGAGATTAAAAAAGTATAAACAATAATAGAATACGTTGTGATATGAATAGTTTATTTAATAATAGAATTTTCAATGTTTTCTGTTGTTTTGTTAACGATCATTATCAATACGAAGTAAATAAATATTCCATTGATAATAATAAATCGACGGCTAGTAAAACCATGAACATCAATTCCCATAACCAAAACATCTTCAGTGAAAAATTAAACCATAAAACGTGTAACATAAACTATGATCATTCAATCAATAATAGATATGAAAAACTAAAATTTGTTTAACTGTTACTATATAAAGTAAGCTTAATGAAAGATAATTTGAGAAAAAGATTTGCTAAGTCTCGATTTATTGTTATCAATTGAATGTCTATTGATTTTCTACTGATAATGATCGACGATAAGACAATAGAAAAAGTCGAAAATTCTGTTTTTGTATTTTATTTGAAATAAATCATTCATATTACTACGTATTCTATTATTGTTTATAATTGAAAAAATAGACAGACTCAAAAAAGTTTTAATAATGTTTACCGATCTTGATGCATTCAGAGTACGAAATTGTGTGGACTTGACAGACATGTGATTTTTTTAAGAATCTATTAAAATCAATTGGATTTTCATGGGTATCGGCAAAAGAGGTGAATATTCACAAACACAATCAGATTGGAAACTGATATTATCAGTAGAATGAAATTGTCGAGCTGTTTCTACGAACACTCATATCTTTTACCAATGAGTAAGATGACTCAACTTCGACACAGCCAAAATATTAGGCTTTTATATGCTAACCTTAGAAAAATAAAAGGGATGTATTTTCTCAAGTTGAAGCATTCTAATTGAATTTAACAAATAGCTCGTGTGAATGTGTTCAATCGATTTCTATTATCAGTTACCGAATTTCCTGAATGGATTTGCTTATATAGAAGACCAAGCCACAAAAGCGACGAATCAAGATAGAACTCAACGAGCTCTACCGAATGGATATCTTGGAAGTCCGATGCGGTACTGCTTTCGTCTGAAAAAAGGGTAATATTCCCTGTAATCCCAGAGCTTTCAATAAAACTTATCGCGATTCGTCCATCCAGGTCGATGATTCTGGAATACAGATCCCACAGGATTCTTTAGGAAACGGCCTTTTTTCTTGTGAATTCCTGCCAGTTCTCACGCCTTTCCCTCCGAAGCCTGTCGGAAAATCCACTGGAACATGGAAGCACTAGTCCGGTCCGCAAATACCCGCATGAGATCCCAGATATTTCAGCTGATTTCCACATCTGAATTCACAAGGGAACTACACCGTATTCGGTCAGGAATATACCAGAACTCAGTCGGATTCATTTGGAAACAAATCGGAATCACGCCGTATCCAACGAAAGCAAAATTCTGGTAATGAACAACGAGATGTGAAGTTAAATAGAATGTTCTAACAATATGATAAAAGAATTATCGAATATTTTTTCTCTAATATTAAACTCTAAATTAATAATTCATATCAATTGTTAATTGTTTATCGAAGATTTTTTGCATTATTGATAAACTATTACAAAAGAATTAATCATCAAACACGAATTTTCTTATTAAATAATGTGCATCTTTCTTATTTGTTTGTTAGTAATGATTCAAAAGTAATTCATGTATTTCTACGTCAGGCTTAAAACAATCGCATCATATTTCGATGATCTACAATAAAGAAGTCTTTCAAAAGATAAATATCAATCATTCCATAATAAAATAATATTCACCAATGAATAAAGTGCATCGAAAAGTTGCAACATCAATATATAAAATCGAGATAGATTCATTTCAACACTACACTTAATCATAAATGTTTTAAAACAATATATAGCATAGGTTTCTATACAATAGTAATGAATCCCGAGATCAAAGTTGCCCTATAACAAAGTTTAAATGAGTTCCACACGAACTCAAATGGAGTACACATAGAACACGATGTTTTTTATAAATAAAGCACAGTGATGAAGTACACAAATTTTAAATAATGCAACATATCCTGAATTAAAACCAATTGGATAGAGTTTATTTTTAGTGACACGTACTGTACTTGATATTATTTTTCGTCAAAGAATTTATTTGAGATCTGCATTTTTTTTTTATTAGAAATAAGATTATGAATAGAACATTTTGTGGATTAAATTTTGCTTCAAGAATTAAAATAAACATATTCCAGTGAAATAAATATTATATTATATATACTAATCAACTAAATTATATTAGATGTGTATATGAAGTAATTTTGAATATAGACTTTATATATATATCAAGAAAGATTTCGGTTGAAACAATAGTATGATATTATTGTTTGTATCTTGTAGTTACATACAAATCTCTATGACTAAAATATGAAATTTTTTTATTATTTCTATTAACACACTATTTATTACGAGTAATATTTTTTATGGTCGTATAAAATTTGCATCAAAAGTCATATTCTTACGACTCATGTATTCTAAAAGTTTATGCGAAAATAATTGAGTAACAATCACTTCAATATTTTTTGTTACAATTAGGCATGTACCGGGCCAAGCAGCTCAAGCTCAGTACATCCCTAGTCTAGTTAAGTTCTCTATATGCGCAAAATTTTCGATCAAAATTCAAAAATACGACTTTTCTGAAAACCTGGGGTTTCTAGAAAAAAAATCGATAGCTTAGCCAAATATCAATAGAAACTCAAATTGTCTTAGAGTTTTTACTAAAATATTATGTTTTATCTATAGGAAAAAAAAATCATTGGAATCGAAAGAAAACAGTTGAAGGGGCTTCCTCGTTAACAGCTTAATTATTTAAATAAACATTAGTTTTAAATGTTTTTAAAACAAGAAGAATAGTCAAATCGACTGAAATCTTACATATAATTGAGTTTGGGAGGTTTTCATTGTGACGTGTACTCACCGATATATTGAGCAGTTTTATTAGAAAAAAAGACTCAACAATATATAAAATTAAAAATGTTGCTTTATAAAATATATAATGTTATAAAAAAAGAATAAAATATAAAAAGTAGAATGAGGAGATTTCATATTTCCATTTGTAGCTTCAAGTAATTTTCGTGCATGATCAGCTATTAATTGGTGTGTATGAGCAGTAAAATGATATTCATCAATAAATAGATAAGTATCAGGAGTTGAACATAACTTAACAATAGTATTACTTGATATTTGCCAACAATTTGTCGTATTATTAATTCCATATGTCGAACCATTTATAAGAATATTTGCAATGAGTAAATAAACATCAAATAATTTGAATGATATATTTGAATAACTTGATTGAAGTAATTGAATTGAATTATATAGATTAATATTATGTTCATGTGTAAGTCTATTTAATAAATCACTGATATTGAAAGAAAATGTAGCTGGATATGCTTGAAGTGGTGGTTGATTAACAATAAGAAAATGTTCAGCACCTATTTGAATTAAATCATTTATTCCATTAATTAAACTTCTAACAACAGTTGATGGCGATAATGTTAAATTAAAAAAATAATCATTTCCACCAGCCCAAATTATATAAATTGTTCGATGAAAATTAGTTTGTCTTAAATTAGCAGTATTTTTGTACATAGTTATCTGTTGACGAATACCTGGTACAACGAAATGATATGCTGTAATACCTAATACTAAATTATTATCAGTGGTAGCACTTCCATATGCATAATTAATAAGATTAGATATGCCTAATTTTTCTATCCAAACTTTTCCATTAGAAAATCGACCTTTATAATAAGGTGGAACAGGAGGCCATTTTGAACCTGTTAAATTATAAACATTGCCAGTATCAGAACTTGATTCACCAAAACAAACTATTGTATCATATGGAATTTCTTCGGATTGAATCATAAAAACATTGAATATTAAGATAAGCAAAAGAAATTTATAGGCGACTAGTCGACTGCTATACATGTTTTTTAATCGTATAGAAATAATTTTTTTTCTGTACACCTGTAATTAATAAAATATCGTAAATAAGTAATGAAAAATACTGATGGTGTTAGAAGATTCTTTTATTCAACTTTTCTTTACGCTCTCGGGAACAGAACTGAATAGCCGAAAAAAAAAGACCGAAAAGAGCGAAAAAACCTATTAGAAAAAAAAATAGATATCAGCAGCTAGAAGGATGTCAAGCCATGTACGCAACATGTCTGTAACAGACGATAATGAAGAACAAGTAAATAAATGTATATTCGAATTTATATTTTATGTGCATATTTTGTGTATGTTATATGTACACACACGAATCATTCGTCCATGACTTGTGATGACATATCTATTTATATAAATTAGAAAGTGATCTATAAATGAAACTAACTGTTGATACAAAAAGAGACTATTTGGTTGTAAAGTTATACATAAAATTAAAGCAAAATGTTTCATTCAACTATGATTCAAATGGATTATTTTTGTATAGAAAAAAAAAAGTATACTAACAACTAACGTAAAATAGTAATGTCATTGATAAAGAGAATTACACATGCTAATTAGAATATCAATAAAACTATTTGATAATCAATGCACTTATAAGATAGATATGAAAAATTTTTATAATATGAAATTAAAAAAATACATGTATGAAGAACTTTTGGTCAGTCCTAAGTATTCTAGAATTTTAGTGTATCACTTGAATCAAACCATATCAGTGATCTCAATATCACGTATTGTAGAGCGCACATAAGGATAGAGGTTTATTAATTAAACATGTCTATCAGAAATCATGTTTCAATTATTCTAATTTAGTAATCATACTTTATCGTAGCGATGATTGGTTCAATAGTTCGCCTTTGACAATAGAGTATAATTACCTTCAGGCATATTTTCACTGGAATTAGAACGAGAGTTTAAAGTGCAACTTTTAATCCTCTGGACAATCCCATAGCAATATTCTCAATATAAATAACACTAAATTGTTGATAATGTGAATAGAGATATAAGACAGCCATTCATGTATAGTCTTTGGTGCGTGCTACACTCAGCATGTGTTCCGCATGAACAATTTTTCATACCGTACGACCGACGTTCAGTTGATAGTGGAGCACCGTATCAAATTTTGGCATACGAAGCGAACTTTATTTCACTGTTTATATTTTTAACAAGCAGCATGTAGCATAGAAATAAGAATGAGGCAAAAGATTCGTTGATATGGAAATAAGAGGTATTTACGAGTTGAAATATCTCTCTGTGACGAACTCAAATCTACGATAAAGAAATGAGAACTTCATGTTTACGTTTTATTGCTTAAGTCAAGATATTTGTGATTCAATTGGAAGTAACTAATTACTGATGTCAAAGTTATATCGAATAAAAGACGGACTGATAATTCGATCAAGTCCTGTTAGATTTTCAATATATCAAGAATCAATGCGTCAAATTATTTCAAGCAAAAAACGAATTTTTTCATTAAATAAAAAATAAACCATGGAACTTTTTCAAGAATTATTTCACGTCTAAATTACTGAGATGACATTGTTATTACACAAGATTTTTACAACAGTCTGAGATTATTCATATAAACGAATTCAAATGAACAAATATGTGACTTGGTAGAGCAAGAAAAGATTTCATAGATTTTATAAGCGTGAGTGATAATCGACCATTCGAAAAATAAGGTACTACACAAAAAGTAGAATTTATGCTAGACAATACGTTGAATCAATCTTGTCTTGAATTGTGCAACAAAAAAAATTGAAATATATGGGATGAAAACTCAAAACCTTTGGCAGTTGTAATGTAAGATGCTGATAATTCAATAGTAAAGCAAAATTTATTCTTCGTTTCTTTATGCATGGTTTAATTGAACTTGAAGAGCTAATTCATAATATTTGTTTAGTGACAGTCTTTCAAAAAAAAAATACGAACTTCATTTAATCCAAGAAAATAAAACAAAAATTTAACTTCGAATTTCATCACAAATGAACAAATCAGATGTGTCGAAGTTCCTCATACATAATCAACCGATTTCATTGATAGATCAGTCGAAAATGACATTCTTCTACATGACGAACAGCCGTTGACACAAATTCAAGGGAGGAAAAAAAATGCAAAGATCATCTGATAAAATCTTCATATTTCATTAACAATGAAACTCATTAGATCTTATCATTACATAATCACTTTCAAAGTTAACTATAAAGAGTTTCGTGTATTTTTTTTTCAATATTGTGTGACATGGTGTAGGTATATATATATGAAGCGTAGATCTACACCGAGAGACTCAGACACACTTATAAGCATACCCCACACTCACATCATTTTGGATTTTTCTTAACCATATTAATAACTAGTGGCAAAAATTACGATTCAAACAGTGATCGGTACCTTGAATTACTTTTCATTAGATTCCAGGGAGAAAAAAAATGATATATCGAAAAATTACTTCTTATTTTCTACAGTATTGCTTACGTCAGTTTATCCATGTTCTAAGCCTTTATGTATTTATATAGATAAGAGAATTAATTTATTTCTTCGAGTGAAGTGTGCATTCTGAGTATATACATAGATAAGATCAGACGAAAAAAAAGTATATAATCATATATCAATCTAACTTGTAGATACCGAAATGAAAATAAAAATTTACCTGAAATTTTTTGCAGTTTAATAATGCTTGACAGTAAATCCATCATTCGCTTTTCCATTCGTTCAACGATATGATAATTTTTGACATGAAAATCCGTTTTAATCTTATCAACACTGAATAGCATCTTCTTGAACATCTATTTATGCATTATCAAACATCATAATCAAATATAGTTTATCGAATAATTTATAAAGTATAACAATCAGTCTTTTCGCAATTTCATCCTTCTACGCCATGTTGTGATATGTTTACCAGTTTCTTCTGTCTCAACGACTCTTAAATCCTTTTTTTCTTATCAAAATAGGTGCATATGAATATCGGTGAAGAGTAGACCTGTCCATCCATATTCACACCTAGAACAGCACCCACTACTAGTCATTCAAAGATAAATCCTCATAGAGATCATGCAAAATGCCGCTCGGATGCATTGATACTGCTAGAAAATGCTATCGCATTTTTCAATAGCGCGAAACCAGAACAAAAATTTTTTTTCCTAATCGAGACCAAAAATAATTGATTCCGCTCAGCACTAAGCCGTACCTTTTTGCAGACACTATTTCTCTTCATATAATCGATTAGTTTATATAACTTCTAGATCGAATCTCTATTCTGTAAGAAATTTTTTTTTTTTCTAAATATGTATATTTTATTTGGTATAAATTTTCTATATGAAATTCACTTTCGACTGATACAAACATCTATTTCTTTGGTATTGTAAAAACAATGAGCGAGAAAAAAAAATACAAACAAAAAAAAAAAACCAACAACACCTTTAGAGAAAAAGAAAAAAAGATGAATACAATTAGAATAAAGAAAAACTGGACCAGCCAGAAAATATCATATCACAGATACTATTTAAAAAAACACAAATTAAACGAAATGACTCTTCTTTGAAATACAGATTAGTTTTATTATTATTATTATGTTTTTGGTTCTTAAAATAATAACTAAAGATCATCAGCATCAAGATTTGTTTTCATTGATGACATTAATGATGTCCGTTTTAATGTTGCTGCTGGTGGTAATGGTGGCATATCTCTTGGATTAATATACATATTTAATTTTCTTGATGGAATTTCTTTAAGAAAAGCACTAACACCACCACTAACACCAGTAACACCATTTGTTGTTGATGATGATGATGAATCAAAACTTCGAAATTTATTTGTATGATTATTTGTATTTGATAATGTTGTAAATGTATCAGAATCTTGTGCTGTATGTGGACTTGATGATGAATTTGATGTTGATGCTTGAAAATAATCTCTATCATCTGTATGAAGAAATGTATTTGATGTTTGTCTATGTCTATAATGAGAATGACAAAGATGACGACGATGACGACGATAACGACATATAATTATTATACAAAACATTAAAAGACAACCAAATAAAAATGATATTAAACAAACAAGTATCATATGTATTAATGTAAAACGATTATCATTAATTGTATCAATTAATGGAAATGTTTTTAATAATAATGGACATGTTGAACATAAACGTTCTTCACGTATTTCACCTTGACAAAAATTTGTAAGACATGTACGTGTACGATATTTTATTGAACGTAATCGAGTTGATGTACATAATGAACATTCAGACCAATCTGTCCAACATGACCAATTACTTGATTTAAGAGTCATACAAGTTAAACATTCACGTTTTTCAATATTATTTCCTAAACAACGTTTTCCTAAACATGTACGACGACGAGTTTCAACTGAACCAGATATATCACAAGCTGGATAACAATCTTTTATAAGACAACAATAAAAAAAAAGAAAAATATATATTCATTTGTTATAATAGATTAAAATATTTACCACTCCAATCCGACCATGGTGTCCAATCATCAAAATTTAAATTATCTAAAGAATCTTAAACAAAACGGAATTTCTTTTTTGCAAAATTAAAATTATTTAAAACAAAAAATCTACCTGTTTCTTGACAATCAATTCCTCCTTGATTATTACACACTCGATACATAACTGTATCTGATTTTATGTCTGGTAATTGTTGACCAGATGATGAACCAATTGTACATTGAAAACGAGTACGTTTTTCAATTATAAGACCATCATTTATTGGATTTATTGTAGGTGTCCAATCACTCCATACTGTTACTTGTTGAACTAAAAAAATATTATTTTTTGTTTTTTAATTTCTCGCCTACAGTAGTGAACAACACTATGCAGTTAATTCTGTATAGACGGAAGAAAATCTATAGAAAACAATCGAAACGATAAAACTGAAAGCTTTACTCGGT